TATGTATGTACTGTATATATGTATGTACTGTATGTATGTATGTATGTATGTATGTATGTATGTATGTATGTATGTATGTATGTATGTATGTATGCATGTATGTACTGTATATATGTATGTACTGTATGTATGTACTGTATGGATGGATGGAGTTTTGTTAGCTGTTAGTCACATCTAAACCCCAGACGGTCAAGGCAGATAGCCGCTCATCCTGTCTGGTTCTGCTCGAGGTTTCTTTGTGTTAAAATGGAGTCTTTCCTTCCCACTGTCACCTTTTTGTTGCTCAGGATGGTGATTGCAATAATTGCAATCTGTTGGCTTCTTTAAAGTTTACTAACTGGCATTTCATAATGCACTGTGTGTGACTGTATTCTACACCAATGGGAATTTAATTACCTGTAAGTGGATTTCAATCTGGATCTAAATTAGATTCATAATTTAGACTTGTATGTTTTTGTTTCAGTGCCCCGAGATAACTTTTATTGAGAATTGGTGATACCTAAATAAACAAAATTAATTGAAGTCAATGAGTTTGCTTTTTATTGTATAAACACTGGAGTATAAAAGATAAATAGGACAAGATTAAAAAAAAACAATAGTTTTTATTCAAACACCATCATTTGTAATGATTAAAAACAGCAAGTACCTCTTAATATTTAACAAACCGAAGGTGAAAGTTTTAAGAAATAACTACTTTAAGTTATCCATTCAGAATGTTAGAAGATGTGAGGATTCATACATAAAGCCTCACAGTTTGTCCAGTCTTAGAAAAGTCTCAATTATCATCAAACACATGTAATCCTGGCTGGAGCCATTTTGTTACCCATCTCTGTTCAATAAAAGTCAGGCTTATTAAACTTCCCTTCAGTTAAGTTACTTTTAATAATTAATCCACCTCACAGGATTCACGTCCAGCAGGGCCACAATAGATATTCGGCCACTGTGTTATTGTCTCTGCTGATGTCAGGCATTCAGCACACACTCAGTAACAAAGACTCGGCGCTGACAAGGCAGAAATGGCTGCTCCAATATGAGACAGCAGAAAGCCTCAGGTGATCTGCTGCCCTTGGTGTAAAGAGCAATATCTGAGGAGGTCAGACTGTATACACAAACTGTATGGATTGAACTCATTTAGTCTGAGGGGTGTTGTCCATACAGGACCAACCAGATGCAGAGAGACAGACTGGGATTGATTTAAATCTAAAAGTCTAATTACTTACAAGAGTAACAACAAAAAAGGTTAAATCGTGTCATCAGTTTCTTTAAGTGAGATACGTTTCGTCCCCCATCCAGAGGACTTCCTCAGTCTACGGCCTGCCAACCAGATCTGTCCCATAGGTAGCTTTCACTGCTGTGTTTCACGTCAACCTGTTGGAATCTCATAAGTAGGGCAAACACACCCATCCAAAACAATCAATCATAATGTACAACAATCAAATGTTTTCGGCCAGGTGGCCAACTTGTTGCTCACAGGAACAGCCTGAGGACAACCAAGGCCAAAGTGGTTCATTAAAATGGTTAGAAGCTCAATCATCCAGGTAGAATGTATGATGAATGGATGGCTCTACCTGGATGATTGAGCGCACAACCCTTTTAATTTTAGGAGTGTTAAGAGTAAATCTCCTGACCTTCAGAGCGACCCTAAAACTTTAGCTAATTTAACTGCAGAAAGTAAACCTTGTGCTGTGTATAAGTTTTTATCTAAACTTTGACAGCTGTCTAAACAAATATGAGTTTAGACATATTTTAATGGTGCCGGCAGCAGATTTTTTAAATATTATAATAATATATAACCCTGTAGCTCGCCCTACTCTTCCATTTGATTGGTTCCACTTCAATTCAAACTCGGGTCCTCTATGACTCATTTCTACAGGTCCTGCTCGGTTTGGCCCTTATTGGGCCGGTACAGGTCGGATCGCTTCATTTTACGTTTCCACAGTGCCCATTTATGCTTCCAGTACCGGTTCCAGTGGGCGGGGTTCAAATTGACGTCACGCGGCTCACCAGCTGGTGGCAGTGAGATGCTGAAACAGGTTTTAGTAAAGGGTGAGAATTTATTTTGAAGTTTCTGGTAAATTAAAACGAATATAGATGATTAAAATGATCAAATTAAACATACACACACAAACACACACACACACATAACCATTAAAGTGAAAACAGGATTTCATGATAAAGCCGGCACCGTTTATTTATTTATTTTTTTCATCTTCACTGATTAAAAAAATAAAAAAAATTTTAATATACATAAAATGTTTTTAAAAATTGTTTCCACCTTCCATCCCAGATCCATCCCGGTCCGCCTGTCTGTCGGGATCGGGGTTTGGCCTTCATGATTACGTGAGGCAGGGGTCCATGCAACGGCCTTCTGTGAGTCAGCAGCCCGCAGAGCACGCAAGGCCGGGATCCGGAGCCCAAGCCGGCACCACGGAGGATCTTCCACGGTGAACAGTGGAGCTCGAAGCCGGGGAGATGACGCCCTGCCCAGTCTGGCTCCGAGGCTCCGGTGGAGAGGACCGGGTAGAACGGCAGAGCTCCATCTAGCTCGCTCTGAATTTTGTCGTCGGCCACCAAGCACAAAAAACACTTGCACTTCAGCATTAGATCACGGTGTTGTCATTATTGTTTTTAAAATCTTTAAAATAGGTCCAGCCACTGTTCCGGGTTCCAAGAAATTGCAAATGGCAGATCGGTGTAAAAAGTTTCTGAAAGATCCAATGATCCCTCCCCCTAACCAATCAGTGACCAACAGTGCGCTGACGTTACGTTTTAGGGTCCTGCTTGGCCTCAATGGAACCGCAGAGAAGTAGGTACTGGAAAAACAGGCCGCTTCCATGAAGATGGAAAAGAACATGGAACCGGCTTGAGCAGGGTAAAGCGGGGCCAAGGAGGTACTGTGGAAAAGGGGCAATGAGGCCTGGGGGTTTGAGGGTTCTGCAAAGTATCTTAACTGTTCCTAGGACTGTGCTCTTCTGGACAGAGATCTCTGAGATTGTTCCAGGGTTCTTGTTGGAACCACTCTTCCAGTTTGGGGGTCACATCACGGAGTGCTCCAATGACCACTGAGACTACTGATGCTTTGACTTTCCACAACTTTTGTATTTCCTCTTTCAGCCCTTGGTTTTTCTCAAGCTTCTCGTGCTCCATCTTCTTGATGTTACAGTCACTTGAGCTTGATACATCTATCACCGCTGTCTTCTTCTGTTGCTTGTCAAATACTACAATGTCCAATTGGTTAGCAATCACCTGTTTGTCAGTCTGGATCTGGAAGTTCCTCAGTATCTTAGCACTTCCATTCTTCTGCTGCTATATGAGACAGCAGAAAGCCTTAGGTGACCTGCTGCCCTTGTCGTCCCTCCATTCTCCACCACCCTTGGTGGCATCTCCCACTTTGGCTGAGGAAACCCCAGTCCATACTTGACACAGATGTTCCTGTATATTATTCCAGCACCACTGGTAGGATCTGCTGAGCTGTAGCATCTTTGCCATAGTAAATCCAAAAAAGTTTAAAGACAAAAACAACTAGACTTCTATTCTGTGTGGCTGAAGATGTTGCACTTGTC